GAGCTGAGAGTTCCCTCAGATTTACTGTGAGATGATCCTCAGAGAGGAAGTCAGAGGATACAAAGTCCTGCTGTCACTCACTCATCTGTCAGTCAGTCTTTAACCGGAAGTGGGCGGGGCCAGCGGCACGGGCGGAGTCAAAAGCAGGGGGCGGAGTCAAAAGCAGGGGGCGGGGCCAGCAGCTCATTTAAAGCTAGAGACACTGAAACCGTTTAGAATCAAACCAGGATGATGGAGTCTTGGAGGAACGAAGCATCTTCATCCTGCAGTTTTAGAGCACTTTGGTATGATGAAGTAATACTGCAGTAAATGGTGAAGTAATTTGTACTCACTCAGGTTGTGGTTGTCCTTCTTCTGTCTCTCTTTTATCAGCGCTTTGGTCTCAACATCTGCAACAACAGCACTGTGATGATTACATTTATCTGCAGCAGTAACACCGTTCTGAGAGTCTGTCAGCCTGAAACAACGTGTTGTTGTTGTTGTTGTTGTTGTTGTTGTTGTTTGTGTTTGTGCCGCAGCAGAACGTCTCAGTGTGAAATAACAGTTCATGTCTGAACAGGACGTTTGGAACCGATCATGTCGGAAAATACAGCTGAGTGTGTTTTTGTGTGTCTATGTGGGCAGGAGACGGCAGAAGTGGGAGCTGGAGGTTGATGAAACTCGATCGCAGTGACAAAAGAAAGAAGTGATGTCAGAGGGCATGTTTGCATGCTGGGAAGGTGATGGGGTTTAAGCTACAGTAAACACATTAACAAACCCTCCACCTTCACTCCCCTTAGAACTAATCTCTACATCTAAGTGCAATGAGTTTGCAATATTCTTTAATGACAAAGTCCAAGGCAATAAAAATGCAGTAATTTCCAAAACACAAATGGCAACCCTGCAGCCAGCCAGACACCTGGAGCTGACACATTCACACCTGTCACTGACAGTCGAAGATGCTCTCTCCGGTCTGAGTTCATGTACATGCTGCGTGGATGAGTTCCCCACGAGATTTCTCAAGTCTGTGCTGAGCCGTTTGTTCCCACAACTCACTTGTTTCGATAACATCTGACTTCAGACTGGAATGTTTCCAAAGGCCTTGAAAACTGCTGTCATCAAGCCTCTTCTAAAGAAGAGCAGTCCTGATCCCACAGTACTGAACAGCTACTGGCCCGTATCAAACCTGCCATTCTGAGGTAAAGTCCTAGAAAAAGCTGTAAACCGACAGCTCACTGACTTTCTCCTGTCTCACAACACCTTTGATACTTTCCAATCAGGCTTTAGGCTCCACAGCACTGAGAGCCTCAGCCTCACGGTGCAGGAGCCCCCCGACCAGACGAAGTCACCGCTAGAGTCCTCAGAGGGTGCACAGACCAACTGGCTGGTCTTCACTGAGATCTTCAACACGCCACTGTCCCAGTCCATCATCCCACCATGCCTGAAGTCGGCCACTATCGTCCCGCTGCCCAAAAAGACCACCATCAGCAGCCTCAACGACTACCGACCAGTCGCTCTGACATCTGTTATAATGAAGTTTTTTGAGAAACTGGTCCGACGTCACATCATGTCCTGCCTCCCACCTATATTTGATCCACTTCAGTTTGCATGCAGAGCTAACAGTTTGACAGAAGACCCTGTTGTCTTAGAGCTCCACACCACCATCTCCCACATGGAACAGCGCTATGCTAGGCTGCCCTTTGTCGATTTTAGCTCTGCCTTCAATACCATACTCTCGGACAGACTCGCAGTGAAACTACAGGACATCGGACTTCCTTCCACCACCTGCTGCTGGATCAGAGACTTCGTCTCTAGTCATGTACAGAGAGTTAGAGTGGGTCCCCATTACTCCACAGCCCTCAGCTTCAACACCAACTCTCCACAAGGGTGCGCACTGAGTCCTCTTCTGTACACTCTGTACACATATGACTGTGTCAGCACCCACTCAGATAATGCCATCACCAAGTTTGCCGATGACGCCACCATGGTGAGGCTCATCTCCAGCGATGATGAAACAGCATACAGGGACAACGTTCAGAGGCTGGTGGGGTGGTGTGAGGCCAACGACGTGGTCCTTAACACCTCTAAGACCAAAGAACTGATGTTGACTTCAGGAGGAGGAAGTCGGACCTGCAACCTATCTGCATCAATGGGGAGGATGTGAAAAGGGTGGCCAGCTTCAAGTTCCTGGGTGTGCACATTGATGCAGACCTCCAATGGAGCTCTAACACCTTGGAGGTAGTCAAGAAGGCCCAAAAGCATCTACACTTTTTGCCTCTGGCACTGCTCTAGACTGGTTTAATTCCGATCTCAAGGACAGGATGTACTTTGTTGAGATTGGTAACTGTGTCTCAGACCGAATGGCCGTGACCTGTGGGGTTCCTCAGAGGTCGATCCTGGGACCCCTCTTGTTCAATCTTTACATGCTTCCATTAGGTCAGCTGATATGCAGCAATAATGTGTCCTAGCACAGTTATGCAGATGACACTCAGATCTATGTGTCACTGACGGCAGGTGAACATGGGCCTGGAGATTCACTCTGTGGCTGCATTGAACGAATTGAAATCTAGGGGTAATAATGGACTTAGACCTGAAGTCAATAATGTCAGCAGCTTTTTATCATCTAAAAAACATTGCCAAAATCAAAAGTCTCTAAACCAGCTGTAAGACGGCTGCAGTTGATCCAGAACGCTGCTTCTCCAGTCCTGACTAGAACCAGGAAGTACCACCGTATTAGCCCATTGCTCAAGTCTCTGCACCGGCTTCCTGTCACTCAGAGAACCCGACTTTAAAACAGCTTTGCTTGTGTCCAAGTCTCTTCATAGTCCAGCACCAAAGTACATCTCTGACATGTTGGTGCCATCTGGACCATGGCGGGCTCTGAGGGCCTCAGGGAGGGTCTGCTGCTGGTGGCCAGAGTCAGGACCAGACACGCTGAAGCGAGACCTACTACTACTACTACTACTACTACTACTACTACCACTACTACTACCACCACTACTACTACTACTACTACTACTACTACTACTACTACTACTACCACTACTACTACTACTCCTACTAGAACTACTATTACTACTACCACTACTACAAGAACTACTACAAGAACTACTACTATTACTACTACTACTACTACTACTACTACTACGACTACTACTACTAGAACTAGAACTATTACTAGAACTAATATTACTACTACCACTACTACTGCTACTAGAACTACCACTATTATTACTATGACTACCACCACTACTCCTCCTCCTACTACAACTACTACTCCCATTACTACTACTACTACGACTACCACTACTACTACTACTAGTACTACTAATAGAACTAGTACTACTACTACTGATGATAAAAGTCTACATCTCCAAAACAGAGAAACAGAGTCAGGAAGTTGTTGAACTCTTTTGTGCGAGCTCAGACAGCTGACCAGATGACGTCTCGACACAAAGGGAGAGCAGAACTCTACTGCTGTGACGACTTTGAACGAGTGAAGATGTTGAGAGTTCATGATGAGAACATCTTTGTATTTGAGGTGTGGTCCTGAACTACAGCTACAAGTTTTATTCTCCAAAAATTAACCATTTTATTTATTGTATTGTATTTGACCGTTATTTTACCAGGTAAAAATGTTTTTCTAAATCTGATGGTGGAACATCTTTCTACTGATGGTGGAACATCTTTCTACATCTGATGGTAGAACATCTTTCTACGGCTGATGGTGGAACATCTTTCTACTGATGGTGGAACATCTTTCTACATCTGATGGTAGAACATCTTTCTACGGCTGATGGTGGAACATCTTTCTACTGATGGTGGAAC